TTGAACAATTACGATTGATTCGTTCACTGTGGATGGATTGCTTAACATCAACTCCTTATAAATTTGATACTTCAAGCCTTGTTTGAACACGTCCAAATCTTCTACTCCATTCATATTCATGATAGATAATTGAAGATTACAAAATTCTTCAATGCACTCATGGATACCTTCATTCCGCTTCCAATCCCACAACTTCATTTTTGCAGTTTGAAGAGAGTACACCGCTTGAAAATTTTGCATAAGTACTTTTTACATTTCATCCCACGAAATGATAACACCTTATTTTGAAAGCATTCTCTCCCCCATTGTGTACCATGTGTAAGACTTATACGTAAAATAAGATCTCATGAACATTCTTGCAGTATAATCAGAACATGAAAATGAAATAAATGAATATTCATCTTCATTATTTAAAACTATAAAATTCCATTGTTCTATTCCCTTTCTAAGCTTTCACCTTACAAGAATTTTCCATTCGAAGCAAAAGATTTGCTTGATCTTCAAGAGATTGAAGATCTCATATTTGCCTCTGCTATATCAATAGCAGTTGGTTCCGGTTGGACTTGGGGAGATTGAACTTGAGATTCAACTTCCATTGTTAAAAACTCTTTCTCTCTCTACTTTCTTAATCTCTAGTGCGAAGATTTTATCTTCCATGACTTGCTGCTTGGTATGTCCATCTACTATCATTTTTCTCAACTCTTTCATTTCCGCCATGATTGTGTTGAGAAATTCATTCTTATCAATTGATGTCTTCATGCTCGCTCTCTCATTCTAATGCAAAGTATAATCACTATCTGAACTCTCAACAAAGGAGTCACAAAAGGTATAGATGATTCTATCACAGCTCTGTAGTACTCTTTCTCATAATTGCTCACAAGAATATGACTCCACAATCTCTTGAGTCGATAAATTGTTCTAATCTCTACATAGGTGTTAACCCAAACCAAGGCGAATGGTTAGCTATTCAAATCCATGAAACATTCAGTATAGAATGGATATAATACAATTCCAAGTCTCTACATAACTAACGATTGAAAAAATCAGAGTCATATTCGACTTGATCACTCTAATCATAAATTCCGCACACCAACAAGCCACAAGATACATCCAAAACTTATGTTTTTCCATGCAATGAAGATAAATATCAGATAGGTTACTGGAATCCTGTCCAGTTTATTCATATCTTCAAAATCATAATTATTCCCTCTCTCTACATGCAGATCAATGACCTTTATCAGCCTCTATACATTTTCAACAATTGCACTCTATCATCATTCACTTGCTATTTCATGAGGGGTAATCCACACTCAAAGAAGGAGCAAGGTCATTTTCATATCATTGTAACACTAGGGTTTAGAGAAAAGCTCACTCGAAGATGAAAATAGAAACTCTGAAGATGAGAGATACCAACAATGATTCTACTCTCTCTTATATAACTCTTATCAAGAAGTATAAGGAGATAAGATTTTATCCTCACCCTCCATTCCACTCCTAGTGGATGAATGACATGGTGGATAATCTAACAAGCACACCAATTGCTCACGTGACGCTTCCAACTAATACACTCAATTCTTACCTGACAAACACACAAATTGCTGACGTGACGTTATCAACTAACACACTTACTCTTTACCTATCAAGCATGTGGATCGTTGACGTGACAACTATGACTAGTGAGCGCTAAAGTAACTATACAAACATTTTGAGTATCATCTACTTTAGTTCTAACTAACTAATGATGATTACAAAGATCTTCAAAGCAAGGTTGGTGGCTAGAGATTTTACACAAGAAAAAGTTGTAAACTATAACAAAATTTTCTCATCTATAGCGAAGTATGCTGCAATTTGTGATATATGTGCACTAGCTGCAATATTTAGTCTTGTCATGGATCATATAGACGTAGTTACACCATTTTTTATGATTAGCTAGAGAAAAAAATCTACATTAAAAAACCAATAGGTTTTGAGAAGAAATATCAAAAGAAGTTGGTTTGTAAATTTTTTGTTGAAATCACTATATGCATTGAAGCAAGCTCCTTGGAAGAGAAATACAAAATTTGATGAGCTCATAAAGTCATACTTTTTTTCACGGAGTGTGTATGATCTTTGTGTATATATGAAAATGGTGAATAATGATATTTTCAAATACTTTACACGGATGACATGTTTATCTTGGAGAAAAACTAATCCGACGTTGATAGATGCAAGAATCAGTTGAAATTTACAACTAGGTATGTGTTTACATGATGAATCCATTTGTTGCAGATCTACCTTGTAGAAGTGTATAGCTCAGTCTACAATAGAAACTAAGTTTGTAGTGGCATCATAAGCAACAAAAAAGAGCTATTTGATTGAATGAATTTATCACTAAGATTAAATTTAAAGAGGAAGTTGTAAATCTTTGCTGTGATAGACAAAGTGCATTACATCTTGCTGCAAATCAAGTGATAAACACCAAAATGAAACACAATGACATCAGGTTTCACTTTATCAAACATTTTTTTTTGTAAAAGTATTGAGCTAGATTGACAGTAAATTCAATACTGCTGATGCGACAATCAAAGTTATTTGTTTTGAAAGTTTAAGTAGACATTGAACTATTATGAAGGTTTTGCACAAGGAGTACAACTAGAGATCATTAACTTTTTTTAGTTGTTTTGTTATTCTATCATGTTTTGACTAGGGCTTATATCTAGCTAATTCTACTTTAAACAGTAGGTTATTACTTTTTAGGTTATTCACTATAATGTTTCAAAAGATAAATATATAATGTATGGAGGTTGTTGTTTCCTTGATATGTGTTAAGGAAGAGATTGTTAGGTGTAACTCTTGTCTATATTGGTGGGTTCAAAATATTGAATCATTGTCTTCCAATGATTTTTGTCTACTTAAGACGGCAAGCAAGGTCTCATCGATCCAAACACTGTAAACTTTCTTGTGGAATACTACGTGAATGATTATTCTTTTGATTATCTAATTGTTTTTTGACTATTTCTTACATGTCTAATTTTGAAACAAAACTGTGGAAAATTTTAAAGTAAATTTTCATATATCTCAAACATGTGTGGTATTTGGGTTTTGAGTTTAATATGAAATTTTATCAATGTCAAATCAATTGCTGATTATGTAGATGATGAATATGGATGAAAAAATTTCCAAAAAAGTGGATGCATAAATTCAATGGATGTGAAGGAAAACTGCCAAACTAAGTACATAAGCATAATATGGAGCTTAAAAATGTCACAAGTAACAGACAAGTTTGGTTGCATAACTTTGTCACGAAGATGAGATGAAGACATCACATTATGAATTTCCGATAAATATTTCAAATTTAACTAATAATCAAGTGATGCACACTAGAATTTAGCATATAGAATTCTGTATCAAATTTTCAAACATGCATACTTTAATAAAATGATTAAGCTAATCAAAATTGACGGTAAATTTAATCATATTGATGTTTAAAATAAGTAATTTTTTAAAATTTTCTTTGATACATCGTTTGTCATAGTGCATATTATGCATATAGATTCAAGTAGAGCAATAGATTAGCAATTAAGATGCTTCAATATATTCAAAGGTTTACTATCTTCTAACCGAAACAAAATAAAGGGTTGAAACTATCGCAACACATTTAAAAATTCTTCCAAGTGCAATGAATTTCTTGAAATTGTTTGAAGAGAGAAAATGATATACTTATTTGAAAATATTTGGTTGCACTATCTATTGTCTTGTACCTCAATTAAGATGAAAATGATCAAGCTAGATCTCGTATCCAAAAGTTATATATATGCAAATATTTTGAAGGATTAGGTAATGGGCTACTATAACTTGTGAAGTGATTGAAGTATGTTTGTAATTGGAGATTGTTCAGACTCCATGATAACAAGGATAAATAATTACTCACCTTTATAATTGAGGGGAAAAATAATTACTCACCTTTATAAATGAGGGGAAAGATTGATCATTAAATACTCAATGATGCACCAGAAGAAAATAATATAGAGTACTATAAGTAAGAAGAAAGTAATATAAAAATAAAGTACATTTCAGATGTATTGATAGCTATATATTCTCACACGGAAGTAAATTATAAACATACTGAAAATATGTTTATTATTATTTATGGTTTGAAACGTATCATGTTTGAGTATAAACATATAAAAGATACACATCTATTCAGTAATGTATTGGATGGTTGTGAAAATAGGGATCGAAATAACACTTCATTTAGATTTGGTGTTGTTTTACTTAGATTTGGTGTTAATTTTGTTTAGATCGCGAGTGCTATCAGAGAAAAGGTAAGTACTACTGATACATCTTAAAAACATCTTGATAATTACCAATTTGATATATTGAATCAATTTCTACAAACATTCAAAATTTAATTTCCTCTATTTTCACTACGTTGTTTTTTTAAATGAATTTAGTAACTTTTTCATTCTAACAGGTTTGTTGTCCATCATGGCAGTTCACTTTTTACCCACTTACACACCAGAACGAAATTTTACTTCGGTGTTCTTGAACTTTGTGACTTTCTCATTTGTAACATTTTCAAATTTCCTGAACACATCACCAATCCAGGACAAGAGATATGACTTTCTAGACAGCCGGAAAATCCCTAGTTATCATTACGTTTCAGAACTACCTGGACGCTGCCACTTCGCCTAAAGAATAAAGGTGGTACTTAAAGTGTACAATATATAGTAATATCATCTTCACGTATCCCTTCGACATCATACTAAGGCCAGCTGTACAACCTTCAGTACTAAGCACGTGACTCCGTGTGTAAAGCATGATCAATTCAGTTCCTTGCGGCGCCGCATCATGCTGTGCCGTCTCCACTGATTCCTCGAGAGGAAGAAAGGTTCTGAGCGGAAACTGCTTTCGCATAATGACATCAATGAAATAATGGACTGGAGAATATTTTGCATCTTTTCCAGATGAGCATGATGTGTAGGGACCACAAAATGGCCGGGAACATAAACCACAAATTTGAGGCTTACAGATTTGCATGAACAGGTAGCTCGTTTAGCATGTTGTATTCTGACCCGGCATAGGAGACGGACACCGATTTCAAAAGGAAGTCGTGTGGGAAATGTGTCCATCAACTATACCGAGTCTGTATCAAAATGGTTGATTCCAGGAGATAAATCGTACAAATTTATCTGACGGAGTCGAGTAGACTGCATCAGGACATGTTTTCTCTCTTTCCAAGTACAGAATGTGTGCGACTGACCGTCAGCTCGCAGGACGTATGTACTGTATGTGGTTCTCGGTCTAACTGTTCTTAGTCATTCGCATCTCCCCCTCGTGGTAGATGTAGCCAAGTTTCGGCACCTGACGATAGCCCGCCTGCGACGGGTATTCTAAACCTAAAGCTCGTTGGCTGATAAATTTCTTCTCTGTAAATTTGTTTTTCCTACGTGCAGTCAATGTCAGTCGTCCAGGTCTTCAAGGGAATGTTGATATTTCCCCATCCAACGAAGTCTGCACCCACGAGACTCAGCAATGCGCTGCGTTTCAGGTGATAACTGCACGCGCAGGGATGCTTCGAGCTTGATCTTTTTCAGACTTGTACATGCGGGAAGAGCGCTCGAGAGACCTTCGATGGACACTTCTTTGATGTGTATAAGTTTCATATTTTGGATGCAACTCAGCCTTGCTATCGCAGCTAGCCCTTCGTCACCAACAGGGCTGAAGGATAGATTCACCTGCACCCATTCAAACATCATGAGAAAAAAACGACATCGCGCTTCCTAAAAATTGAGCCAAAGCAAAGCCTCTCCACAGTGCCATGTGACCCTAAGCAGACACCAAAGACCAACACACGGTGATGACAGAAAGACCTTAAGCTAGAACGGCTGCAATGGACTGCTCATTCTACCTTCAACATTCCTAACTTTTAAACACACATTCAATATCCATGAATAAGTCTATACCTGTCTTAAGTTTGGACAGTTTTGAGCGATAGCGATTAGTCCCTTGTCGTCAATGGAAACGCAATGTTTGAGATCAAGCTCCAGCAGTTTTTTGCATCCAGCGGCTATTGAGCACAGACCAACTGATGTCACAAGAGAGCAAGCTCTGATTTCCAAATTGTTCAGATCCCGAAGCTGAGAAATCGAATGAAGGCTGGCATCCGTGATTCGTGCACAGTACGACAAATTCATCACCCTCAACCTTCTACACCCATTGGCAAGAGCCGAGATGCCAGCGTCGCCTATACCCGTAGACCTGAAAGATTACCATACGGGCGTTAAGAAATACTCATGTATGTTCACAACCTTTTTTCTAGTATTACAGCTCTCTATTCTCCATCAACGTGGACCTTCTTCCGTTCATTATAAACTGACAATTCTCTTCTTTCTTTCATCCTTCTGATATTGTAACGATCTTCAAGCTCAACACATTATATTCATCCTGCACTGACGAATTGAATATTCAATTTGTCCTATACATCACACTTCGGAAAGCAAGCCCTTGCGAACATCAACCCAGTGAGAAATCTACCTGTACAAATCTATCTCTCGTAGGTTGCAACAACTTGCAGCAATGTATCCAACTCCTTTGTCTGTTAAGTTCAAGCAGTAGCCCAACTTCAACGATCTGAGAGCTGTGCATCTTGCTAAATACTTCAAACCTGCACAGGAAACAACATGATGTAACAATATAAGCAACCGATAAACAACATCAAAAGCTCCTCCAACAATAAACAGAGATTATAGTCAGAAGTGTTTTACACTGCTACTGACCTTCATCGTTGATATGGGTGTCTGTCAAATCCAACTCCTCTAGGGACATGCACCCATTTGCAAGCAGACCTAGTCCCTTGTCTGTCACCAAGTTGCAGGCTTCCATCTTGAGGCTACGAAGTTGTCGACATGAGCTCGCTATAGAAGCGAGCGTTACATCTGAGAGGTCGCGGCAGCAAGTGAGATCAAGCTTGTGCAAGTTTTGGCACCCATTCACGATCACCTGAATTCCCTCGTCGGTGATCCCTCGACACTTGCATACACTAAATTCCTTCAATAACTTGCAGCCCCTGCCTATGAAGGTTAGCCCATTGGGAGCAATGTCACATCCATCGAGCCTGATGGCGAGCAGACTTTCAAATTTCCCAAAGCTCTTCAATAGTGCCTCGGTTATCTGTACAAACATGTGACAACACTGGTTAGCTTCTCCTCCAAATCTGGGCGAGACTTCAAGCAAATGCCAGTGTACGTTCTAGAAAGCATAATGCATCTGTACATACCGAGAAAAGAAGGCAAAAGTACCCACCCAATTCCAATGCATATGAATGTCTCAACGATTCCTTCTTCAATTAACTGCTAACAACGAAAGAAAAAGGTCACATTCTAAAGCTGTTTTGGATTCTCAAAACAGCTGATCTGGGAATAAATCGAGTTTTGCAAGAGGATTGGCTATTATGGCTTCAGAAAATGCAGCTAAATAAGCGGGTGAAGGCAGCATCTTAAAAGAAGCACATCACAGGAAACTAGGAACAAAGAGGGCCGACTATATTCGAAATAAAATGACAGCAATCTTGACAGTTCCGAAACTCTCACTGTTACTCCTGTGCCAGTGAACAATTCGGTAACTGAAGGTGCTGTCATATACTGGTGAATGGTTATAGCAGTACCGGTGAACAGTAAGAAAGAGTTAATTGTTGTAATGGAGTTGCACCAGAAGCCAAAGCCATGATTCCTCGCTCACTTACATTTACGCACCTGGCAACATCGAGCCTCTGCTCACAGCAACAAACAAAAGGACAACGACCTATTAGGACATTGACTTGACAGCAGATTATCCAGTTCAAAAAGCACATCTAAGAACAGCCATACTGGTTGGCCTCGAGTAACTACAACATGTTCTGAAATGCAGAGCATGTAAAAACACTAAAAAACGCTCACTCAAAGGCCAAGAAATGATATGCAATAAACAACGCTAAAGTCGATTGCAACAAGAGGTTACATCATCTGTGAGACAGAATTAACGTATAACTGACCATCAGAACGTACCCATGAACCAAAGAGGCTCATATAAATGTTAGAAACCTTGGGCAGAGATAAGAGAACAGACTGAGCAGCAGGAACGTTACCATAAAAGAATTACAAAACGTCTAGTAGACTTACTATGTTTCTGAACTAAAGGTGAATAGAGTTCGATCAAACGTACCAACAAGGACTTGGAGCACCTCTTGAGAACAGCCAACGCGGCATCATCGACGCTATTACATGAGACCATAACAAGATTCTTGAGTGACTGAAGAAGGGTGATGGAGTTGAGCCCTTTTGAGGTAACCTGCATAAGTACCATGCAATGAAGACAGTCAATTCAAACGTCTCAAGAAAGTTTCATACAACGATCTTCACGCGTGACCAAGTCACAAACACAATCCTCTGACTATGACCCCATACTCTCTACACTTAAGATTGAGAGAAAGAAAATCAGGAGACATCAAGAAAAGAACACATGTTCCTTGATGTACTGGTGAATCCAAGATTCCCAGAATAGGTTCCAAAGCAGGAAATATAAGTCCAAACAGATAATGATGGTATATTGAAAATCTACAGTGCAGAGCTTGATTCACTACACTGCGATAGATATTCCTCACAGATGATCGGATTAGTGAAGGTATCTAACACACTGTAAAAACGAAAGAGCACATGGACAGCAGAATGAGTCAGGTCATTAAGAAGCGCTTGCCAATCGCAGTACGAGCAGCAATGATAATGGACAGGACAGAAGCACAATCTAGCCCGTATCCAGTGAATGTAAAGCAGCAGACAAGAATGACTTGTACGTAATACAGTGCAAACTCGTACAAGGATCTTCATCGAAAGCACAGCTTGTTCGTGTAAGGTGGATTCACAGAGCAAAAGTCCACTATAAACGGAAAGGACTGGAGCAGTAAGTAACCACGCATCTGTCCAAGGGATTATACCCACACATCTTGCGTAGCAAAGATGAAAGATGAGAATATCAGAACTATACTTGAGGGCATTCTTGTGCCGAATTAGCTAGATAGAAGAGCAGGTACCATTCGCATGTATGAAGGAGAACACTGGAAGGTAAAAGCTTGTATAATTACTGGATCTAGATATCAGATGCTTGTGGAGGAAACATTGAGCAGAGCACATTGACATTGTTCCTTCTAAGGTAAGAAGGAAGGGTGGGGAAGCAGTAGACATACTACCTTGGCCCCAGACAGGGCCGAGGTAGTATGGTCGCTACCTAATGGACCATAACCGTCTAATGCGCCTCTTTCGCGGGCAAAACTAAGGTGCCAGCGGAGAAGGTAAATTGCATGTACAAGTAACAGAGCCACAAGTTCCAATTGCTGGTTCCACTTGGTATCTTCAATGCACATATCCAACTGTGCGTTGAAGGTATGAAGACAAGTGGGTAGGAGGATGTTTTGTGCAGAACAGGTCTACAAAGTATGCATATGGACGTCATGGCCAGTAGCAAGCACCATGTATGCTGAGGAATGATAGAAAAAGCCTGATAAGATGGTTAATACTTGTCCACCTCATGGCGGAAAGAGCGAGAGTTTTGTAAATAAGGAGGTCGCTTCTGTAGAGAGAAGATATAAAAGCTCATTTTTCAATCCAAGGTAAGGGAAAGGCGAAAGGGATGGAATGCCAGTAATTTCTTGTGTCTCCAGGCTAAAAATAATCATCGAAGTTTATTCAAGCTGAGAATGCAAATAAAAGAGATTCGAAGTTCAAGCATACAACTGCAGAATATCTCTCAAATACATTGAAGTCAGATAACAAGTAGAACAAAAACATCCCAAACATACAATCAAAACAATACCACATCAAGCCAGAAAACCAAGTGGAAACCACGAAAACCGTCAGTTGACATGAGGGGACAGACTTTGGCGAGGTTCAGTGGAATAAAGCTGATTTGATACCTTAGCTGATTAATCGGGAATCACCTCCTGGGGTTCTCAAGACTACGCTAGAAACATATATATATATCCTTAGATCAAGTTTATCAACGGATAAAGAACTTATCGAAAAACCGTCAAGCCTATGAAGAATATTACAAGAAAAAAATGAAAAAAGTCAGTCTTCTTCGGCGGCAAAACACACACAGCAAACAGAGACTAATATCCATTGATAAACCATTAAGAGAGTTGAGAATTTGATTGCAAGCTTCTAGCGGGCAAGGCAAAACTGCTACATGATATGATCAAAGCAATAATCGAGAGAACGGTCGATAACAAGTCGTATTACGTACATCTGTATATGAAAGGTCTAGAGTCTGTAATTGGTTGCAATTTGAAGCGACGAGTGAAATGCCGACATCGGAAATTCCCAAGCACCATCGGAGGCTCAGAAACTTCAGCTTCTTGCACCCAGCAGCCACACATCCCAACCCCACGTCTGTAATGTTTCTGCAATTCACCAACTTCAAGCTCTCCAGCTCCTTCAAATTGGACAAAGATATCATTCCCTGATCTCCGATTTGCGTGCAGTGGGTCAGATCCAGGTCTCGTAAGAGTGAACATTTGCTGGCCAGGCATGACAGGCCTACTTCGGTGAAAGTATTCAAAGAAGATAAATTTATGGACCTCAAATTCTCCCCAGTATACTCTCCGACGATCTCAAGGGTCTCATCGCTCTCCAATACACAGGCCGAAAGGTCCAAATGCTGAATATCTCTGTAACGGCGGAGCAGAGGCTCCAGACCTTCAACTCGAAACAGGTGCAAACTATTCCTGGAATTTGCCTCCAAACCCAAAAACCGTCTACACACCAAACGATACGCTTGCCGGTCCGCCGAGTCCGTAAGCCGGCTCAACACGTTCAACAAAAGATTGTCGTCCAGCTGAGCGAAAGACCCATCTGCAAACGACTGCGGTCTACAGCGGAGAAATCTTCTTGTCATCGGTTCCTTGATCGCCCTCTTACGACACCGCTCCTTTCGCGACCAATCTCAACCCGAGTGCCAGCTCTCTGACCGAACTCCGAGACTGGACCAATACGGCCGACGCCAATCGTCAATCAATCGAGGAACCTCGTTCTTTCTTTCTTTCTTTCTTTCTTTCTGTCTTCCTGGCTGCCTTCCTTCCTTCGACAATCCCGTCTTTCTCACGGCTCGGCCAATCGCAGATTCAACGTTCCGACGAGAAGACGCAGCTCAGCATCTCCTTTATAGAAGAAGCGAACAGGTGAATGTCAAAGGGCCGGAGGTGCAGGCTGCCAAACGCGGTTACAGCCTCCTCATCATGCCGAAAATATGAGCAAGACGCGAGCAGCCTCAGGCGCCGATCTCACGCACATTCACCTGCTGAATCCACCCACTCGCGCGACGATGTTCTTCCTCCTGCGGCAGCCTTCCTTCGTTCCGTCTCCACGCCTTTCCCACCAGAGGCCCCAGTGGCATCTGCAGATCCTCGCCCTGGCACCGGGAGCTTAAGCGGGGCCAGCTGCCCAAGCTCCTCGTGAACCCAAATGTGGGAGGTTGGCAGGACGACCGGATCCGGGTACACGTACTGATTCGCCAGACCGGACTCCGGAGCAGCCTGCCCGAGCGCGCGCGAGAAGGTACTGTCCCGGCGTCCTCCCGAGTCCCCACCCAACACCACCATCAACTCCAGCAGCAGCAGCAGCAGTAGCCCCCACAACGAGAAGAGGGTGGAGTTGCAGCATCAGCAGCAGCATTGGCAGCAGCAGCGGCCTCCTGATGGCTCGCAGAGCAGAATTCTCGTGAGGACGGACGAAGGGGGCAGGCCAGGCCGGTCGCATTCGCCCACCCGCGCCTGACCGGCGTCCGGACGAACCGACGAGAAAGATCGTACTGTCCTGTGCAGGCACTACGGTGCAGCGGGCGCGGTGTCGTCATCAAGACGAGAGAGGCCCGAGCGGATGCGCTCGCCCTGGAAGGCGCCGGGACGCGGATCGTCGTTGGTTGGAACCATAAAGAGCGGGCGAGGCGCGGGCAGGGGACGGCGCACCTGGAACAGACTCGCCGGGGCAGGGCCCGGCCGGGCCCGATGTCCGGGCCGCTTGCCATCGCCCAGATGGACCGGAATGTGTCGCTGCCTCCGCGGCTCCTGTCCTGTCGGTGTATCCGTGCTTTCGAGCGTCGTCACGCGGCTCTTTAAGGCGGCTTTTTGCGAATAGGTACCATCTAGTACATTCCGTACCCCGGTCTTCTGGTTCCGTGCTGAACTGTTTGCCCATGAACTTGGGTCATGCCCACCAAAGTAGGTCACTGGCTAGTCAGGCCGCCCTTCGCCCTAGGCCCCTAGCTTTGCCTGCCCTGTCTTCGCCTTTACTGCCGCTGGAGTGATCATCTTTGGCAACGATCGATGATGAGTTCACTTTTCTCCCCATTTTTTACCCTTTTCACGCGCCTTTTTTATTTGCTCTCTTTCTCGTCCGGTCCGTGGCCCCTTTTGCTCTCGCGCACCAGTAACTTACCACGCAAGAATCTCCCGCAAAACTATTCTCATTTCTCCCGTCGAATAAACTGATTCCTTCTACACGTAAATGTCATGTCATGGACATTAGGATACTGTGCTGTTATCATTCGGTATATATTCTAGATAGATTAAGATTATTTTCTAAGATTTACTGCCGACAATCCGGTGATGGGTGGACTTTCGCGCATATATCTTTGTTATTTTTGTCTATATATTTTTGTGGTGAAATATAATTCTTTGAATCAATTTGGTACCCTTCCATTATTCAGTGTTATTATTTGTTACTACGTATTACAAAAATCTAGAAACTAAAATATAGTGTTATTAATATTTACACCATTTAATTCATTCATATGACTATCTCCATGATTTGATGGATTTTCCACCCAAAAAAAGAGTATATCTGCTTACAAAATGTACTGAACTGACACTACATCACTTATCAGAATATTCGAACATACTCCTCTATTTCTGCCTTGTCTCATCTTTCTCATTCATATGACTAGCTTGATAAAATTCTCTCTTACGTATTGTACGAACTATTCTGCCTCATTTTGTAGATTTGTGAGGAAATTCAATAAGAAGATCTTGGATCAGAAGAAATCTCTGCAAAAGCAGATCTTGCTGATCATTTCTAAACATTCCTTATGTCAACTGCCTATATTTGACTTCGGTCAAAACCAGACTGCATGGATTGCATGAGACTTAGCTAGAGCGGGATGAATCAACGCACCATTGTAGGAAGTAAAACTCGAAAGAGAGTAGGGTCCAAGAAAAGACCGTCTTCGCGGACTTCAAATGCAACTCATCAGTTGTATTATTCTATTGCGGACTTCTTTGCAAATTTCAAAGTTTCATGGACTTTGCATGACAATCAAGCTTGCCATTGCATACGCAATAAGCTAAGACACAGAAGTTAATCTCCAGAAAGATCGCGCAATGCATAAAGAAAATTTTTCTCCTTGAGGCGGATGCTATTATGGAGTCATTCATATATATATATATATATATATATATATATTGACATTTATATCATATTCGCACCTTAAGATACTTTCAAAGGTACTAATCATGATCCATGTCAAAGAAGTATGTGAAAGCAAATAAATGGACGATGTTTTTGTTGATCTTGGATGTGGTAGAGACATTTAGAAATGAGAAAATTCAACAACAAATAACTGATTGAAAGGTATCTAGTAAAAGATAGTCCTACTTGTGTAATCCATATTCACACATCCTATTAGTTTTTGAATCTTCACGCTGGTACTCTGAATTCATGATCCCTTTAAAGACTTAGAAACAATACTCCATTATAGCATCCACCATTAGTTCTCTTCTTCTTCTTTTTGGCAAGGCAAGAACACTCTGAAGATCACCTGCCATACAAGAACTTTCTGTCTTAGATCATTGCGTGTGCAGAGAAAAAGGTTTTTTTTTATTTCACTTTTTTATTTAAATACTGATCTGAACTTTTCCATCTGATTTTCAGTAATTCTCGTTTCTAATGCTTTTCGGTCTAAAGAGATAGTCGTTATGTCTAACGTTTCTCATTTAACAAATAATATAAATAATAATAATTCTTCTCGACCTTTTTACAAGCTAAAATTATGTGTAGAATTAAGAGATTAAAGTGTAAAAATATAAGAAAGACCCGTAAGAGAGGCAAATTAAAACTCAACATGATAGAAAATAAGTATCATTCAAATCAGCGATATAAAATAATATCTCCAACGTTAACTCTGATGATAGATGCCGTGACAAAAATTGCGCTTCAGATTGACAAGCAAACTTAGAATTCACTTTTCAAATCTGGACATTAATCTGAGTCATCCCAAGCAATCTGAGGCCTTTGCTCCCAGCCCGACATCGCCATTCTTTCGTTGTCTTTGACAAAGTCTTCTGCGATTCTGTTGCCTGATTTTTTTTGCTCAAAACGGCATATCTTTCTTTCGCGTGGAGCTTGCAGAATAGTCTTCAAACATGAAAAGGGGGAAACTTTGGCAAGGGAATATGAATGAGTGAAGTAAGTAAACGGGCACGGATCTAGTACGTTTTGTCACAAGGACAGGATTGCTCTTGAGCCGGCAGAAGTCGCCGGTCTGGAATATGTCCTCCAGCAGAGACTCCCATTCACACGTGATGTCCCATGCGACCTGTCCTGTGCTAAAAAAGGACTCTTCCACTAACTGCGTACGGGGTGAATGTACGGACGCCTCATTACTGTACATTATCTCAATTTTCTCATCTTGAAAACTTCAGATGCACGTCTTTTCTCCAGTGCATGACGACATTTCATGTTATGCATAGTGCAACTTTATGTCACGTCAATTGCTGCCCCAACTTTTTACTCCTCACGTTATTCAATGGTAAAAGGTCTGAGAAAGTGGAAGATGTGTAGTAATAAAAGTTCTGTAACGAGATGATCAAAGAAATCCAATAATTATCAATCCAAATTTTTAATGTGCATATTATGCATGATCGTACATGTACTCTTTACTACAGATTATAATAGTAGCACGGGGAACCAGATAAATACTAAAAAGGACGGGATGATTATAAAATAGTCATCATGTGTTTCAATATTCAATATCTTTTACCATTAATTAAATAATTTTTTTGAAATAATGTAAAATAAAAAAGGTTAAAAATTTCAGTAATATAAGTTTAAGTTCAAAAATATATTAATATTCGCTTGCTTACAACTAGAATCTTATATTAGTCATTTTTGAACTGAACCCATTTCAATGAATCAGTATCCATCCAAATAAAATCTTGGATACTATGCAATATTTTTTGTTTTATTGCAGACGTGAAGCTTTTATCATAAAGCAGGTAGTATTTTATTTTTTTTCAACTATAGAAGAATAATATTAGATACAATAAGTTAATTTACTTGATGAAGTGAAATTTAATCCGAAGTTTAACTTCATTTTTTAATATAATCAAAATATAACTTTTGACATTAAAATTCATCATTGAACTATCATGAACATCTCCGAGTTTTCTTTTTCTTGCTCTCAACCACAGGACTCAGTACTTCATATGTAAATAAATGTTACGGCTTTAATTTTTATAAAGTATGTGTCCTTTGTGAAATTCCAAGAATTATGGCAAAGAGCGAATCAAGTTACTATCGACGTCAGTTTTACATCTATGGCGATATGTAGGCATTTCCATGTGTCATGACAGTTATTGACTAAATTCTCTAAAGAATGTCCAAGAAAAATTGACATGGCCAAAACAAACGAAATATAATGATTGCAAACGGCTGAAATTATGAAATGGTCGATTTGACCAAAATTCTCGTGAGCCAGATCAGGGCAGAATTTGAGCGCCAAAAGCTGGTACATGGCCTTATGGTACGCACAATTTTCAACGAATGTAACTAACATTGGTACAAAATGATCAGCACCATCCACAAGTTGGTAAGAGCAATTTGCATATAATTCTCCAATTCTCTAAATTCTGCCGAAATTACCATATCAGCACGGCATTGGATTTCAAGAACTCTGATTGAGGCCGGAATGTCGTCGTCTCATTCTAGCTCCCTTCGCCTGCAACGGTGACCGGGAACTGTTCTGCTTTCCACGCAAGGCCCGACGAAAGTCCTGTCAACTTGGCCTCCACTCCAGCCACAGATCGACGTAGTGGGCGTCGATGCTGCTACATTGCCGGTTGGGGTCCGGGAACGCCCGAGTAAAAATATGGCACGTACGAAACGACATATCCTCGAGAAAGCACGAAAGATAACGGAACAGGCGCTCTGCCAGGCCACCTCCGAGAGGTTGCGAAAGTATCCCGAAGAACAAGGTTCCGGCGTCTGTAATCCGGGACACAAAAATGGTATAAAACTGAGAGCATGTTCCAGAAAGATCGGTGATGTTATCTGGGCTTCTATCTTGACGCTAAATGCGGGTGCTCCTGTCTGGGCGCTGACGCTCACGCCCGCGGCTAGGACAGGGCCTAACTGTAGAAGTGAGGCTCATGTATGGCGGGGTTGGATGAATTCCACGTCTGGTTCGATGGACCTCTCTCACCTTACAGACTGTGTGGCGCCGAGGTTCTTGTTCTTGGCGCCGAGGTTCTTGTTCTTGCCGCCGCGGTACTCGACGTCTCGTGCGGTTTCGATTCACTCGCGGCCGTCCAGAACATGCCAAGTAGACGAAGCATGCCAATCCTTCCAGTATCCGGCTCCGGGAAGACTGGCATGCACGGGAAGATGGAAACTCGAGCAGTGTCGCGTATCAGATTTAGACGGACGAATCTTTCCACTAGTTCTGGACTGCGGATGGTGTAGCGGATTGAACTAGATTAGAGTCCTGAGATTGGAGTACAGTTCTCACTCCTCACACATGCCAATCAGATGTAACTAGTGGTGGTGAATGTTTTTTAAGCACTTTGTTTAAGTGTCTTGGTGTGTTTCTCAACAACATTTTAATGTTGGGTGATTGTGATTTTTTCCTTTATACCTCAAGAAATTTTTCTATGTTTTAGACTTCGTATATTCCCTTTCTTTAGTATGTCCTGCCGGACGTTTATCCGTTTATCCTAACTTGGGTTGCACATGATTCTATAGGGAATGCACTTGGCAGTTGGCTCCTCCATCGTCCCCAAGGAGTTCGGTAATGTTACATTCATAGTACAAAGCAGGTACGCATCCCAGCCCAACACGTCAAAGTCGGTGCACCTTCAACGAACCGCAATATAATGAAAAGAATACATAATTCTATTCATCGAAAAGGACCTTAGAAGTAAAATGGTCATGATGATTTCACACACTCTGCAATGCGCTAATGGTGCGTGAACATGTCCGACGATGAACAATGCATTTGGGCAAATATTTGCAACCAAGTGACGAAAGACTCGAGCACGTAAAATTTCCCCGACTTATCCACCAGCTGTTCAGAAGTGAGCTGATGCGGTACTTGAACTTATGCTTCTATATCCGACTTCATTCAACTTTTGTACTTGTATATCTTTCTTGACTTATTCTTTTTAGCAGATTTTCCTTCAAATCCTTGTCATCTGCGTAGGAGAATGGTCATAGGTTTGACAAGCGCCCGAGGACAACCAAAAGTACAAAAGGACACTATCTAAAGAGTCGAGAATCGTTTTAACAGAATGAAAGTGAACGAGTAGCCACCAACCAAGCCTTTTTCTCATTTTGTGCAGTCTTGCAGGTCCTGTACTTTTCCGTCTCTCTTTTTCCAACTTTTGGACTCTCGCCGCTTCTCTCCAATACCAAACCCCAGGCACCAGCATGAAATCAACGGAGGTTGAGATCAACGTTTGGATAGACCTCACTTGATTGTGAGCCTCTATTTTGCTACAAGTTGAGACTAAAATACAACTCTACTCACATTTGAAATGTTGGGTTGATTAATGATCAAATTATAAAGAATGTAAAAAAATTACTGAAATTTATTGATGAATATTGTATTTTTTAGAATCTTAAGTGTTTCTTTCAAGTCCAAAATGTAAATATTTGTCTCATCCAATTTTTTTAATCAGATGATATTATAACCAAGAATCCAAATTTTTGAGTTTTAAATAAACAATCCATGTGTGTTTTTCGGTGTTTTTTCTTCAGAAAATATGATCTTCTTTCGTTTGAGATGTGGTATTATGGGTTGAGGTTTTTTAAACATGATTAGACATATAAAGGAGTATCATGAACCATTATCATATTTCTTACGTTAGCTATACTTTCATATTAAGATCTCATGCAACAACAAATAGTAATGTCACATGAATATTGCTACATTTTGAGAATTGAATAAGTGCATGGTTCGGCCTCTATGTGAATTCTTTTCTTTTTGTTCACTCATCATTGTTCATCCAAGTTTTTGTATCTGCTTACATTCATCAATCGTATCGAATTTCATGTTTAAACCTCACCTATGATTATTTATGACCTGTTCTGTGTCATCATTAATATTTGTGCTTTTCATTTCTTGGAAAATACTCTTCAACTCTTCAATCTTTCAGGCAAAACTATGAACATTTTCATGTGCTAAATCATGATTTCAGATGCTTTCAAAGCTCACTAGATCATCTCATTTTATCCCATATTTTCTTAAAAGATTACTATTGAGAAGAACATTCCTACAAAAAGTTGTAATAATTTTTTGAATATCAGAAGAATTTGTGTGATTCAGTAATATTGTGTACATGTACAAAATTTATCTACGATTCTACACTGAATGTAATTTTTTTCAAGTCTTATAAATAACACATGCTCAAATAATAATCCAATTGTGATTATTTTTTTGAATTATCAAAAAATAAGTCAACAATCATTTTTTATCTATAGTCTCCTTCTTATCAGAATAAACTTAAAGAAGATTTGTCTTTGAATCTTTATCTAAAAGAAATACAATGAAGTTTCATGATACATCATATCAAATATCATTTAATCTTTAAAATGTGCTGAGCAAAGATATATGTCAACAAGACACACATATTTTTTATTGAATTATTATTTATTGAATTATCATTGAATCATCTAGGATGTGTAAATGAAACACATATATACCTAGTGGTTATTATATTTTAGTTCAAATTTTTCTAATTGATAATTTTTTTCATTTTTTCTAATAAATCGAATTAATAATCTGGCTCAATTTATATTTCTTCAATCAAGATAGACTTTTGATTATTAAATTTATTATAATCAAAAGTTTTTTTTAACGCTATCTAAAAAAAGTAACATGAACTTTTCATTATTATTTGATTTATTTTCATATATAAATATTACTCAAAAAAATCTATAAATTTTGTGTTAAATTATAATAAATTAGACCTAAAAAGTTAATTTGTTGAGGCTGTACACATTAAATAAGTCATATAAAAATCATATATTCTAAATTATAGAAAAAAAAGATTTCTCTCCTCGAAGATTGTTTGAACATCAAAATTTCAAACGATGTTTTGGCAAGAGTTTTCTATTTCTATTTCATCCGAAATAAAAACATATATGAACTTTTTAAATATTTGATTGGAAAGCTTATGACATTAAATAATAAACCAAAAGTATTGCTTTTTATTCTTAAATGCTAAACTATATATATATATATATATATATATATATAGCCGGTATATATATACCGGCTAGTGCAATCTTTAAATTATCAATCTCATGAGAGATACCTTAAAGAGATGCTCAAGTAATATGAAGACCATTTGATTCTACACATTTAAGATAACTAAGATGATCCCCAGCCATATCCAATTGGTATCATCCCTAAACTAATTGATGGGTTTTCTCATCTCATCATATTGTTATCTTACTAACTACTCTCTGTGTTTTGATTACCTTGTACTCGCTTGTTTAATCACACTAGCATTATCATTCTCCTTGATGAGGAGATAAAATCAGATAAAATCGCTTCCTCTAGACGTTTTTCAGACACTAGGAGTGTGCAATTACGAAATGCTGTACATTCTCCTGGAAGTTACACGTTGAAGGTTGCATATATTGTGATAACTTTGACCTCAGTCAACTAAATAATATATATCAACTGAATGTCCTCATATCTAGATGGTATATAACGGTTTTTAAAAGCCTGCCCTTGAAAGTATAATATTTGTCCACGTCTTATGCTAAACTTCCAACGGAAGCCAGGCCTTTGGCAGAACAAGAGGTGTATTGTATTGTTGTGTAGCTTCTAATGTTACTACACAACATTGACCACGTCCTCACAAGGCAGCTGCTGCGTGCTGCGTGGAGTGAGAGCACATGGATAGAGATGCCCCGGCAGCCTCTCGTAAACTACTGAGTCCCGCACTCCTTCTTCAGTGGTTGTGGAGGTCGGTCAGTGGACAGTCGATTCTTCGCTCCCGATGGAGTCCCGCCGACATGTTACACCTTTTACTCACTCGCTCGTTCATTGGTGATATTGTATGGATATCATGCCTCGTGAATAAACAATTGGATACCGTTGGATTCCACCGAGGATTCGCTCGCTCCTTCCCTCCCTCCTCTGTAGAGAATTAAAGAAGAATTATAGTCCGATCAGGACGCTGGTTCCCGATGTGTCGACATCAGAGCTGTTGCGTTGACCTGTACAGTAAGTAATCCCTTCAATCGAACCCAGACTCGTGAGTGTTATGGAAGAAAAATTTGAGGGAAAATCTGGAAATTTTTGGGGAAGTTGTAGTTCAAGTTGAGCTAGGTGGTATCGCTTGTCAGAGGGGGCCATTGGGGTCCTCTGGTCCTCGCGGTCGGTCGATCCATGAGACGGGAGTGAAGGTGTCGGTGGAGTCAAGGGAGCATCTCAAGGACACAAACTTCTGAAAAGAGGAGAAACTTTAACAGCTGGTGGACACGAAATGAATCGATACAGTGTTGCGGTGCTAGCGTCACCGGGTAGCGAGTGCCATTCAGGGGTACATGTTGAACTGCTACATGGCTTCGTCCATCGAGGACGAGAGAGAGGTAGTATTGCGCATCATGTTCATGAGCGCTCTCCTCAGTCACACTGTACTATCATAGGATCCATACCTTTCCGGCCAGAAGGTGAGAAGGTGATATTTGACGTGTACATATGCTTGTGCTTGTTTTGTAAGTGCCTTCCATCTCAGTTGTTCAGAATTTCCTAGACCGATGCGGCCCTTCGGAACGAGTGTCAACGGTTGCTTCCACCGTGTTCCAGGTCGATTCAACCTTGTGGAAGGGGGTCGAATCGACCAATTGAGGATGATGCCTTGTTCTCTCAGATGCATTCTTCCTGTAGGGTCTGCGTAGTTGGTCAATCGTGGAGGCATGAGCTCCAGGTACATCGAAACTTAGGTCGAGCGGGAGATCAACCCGAAGAGGAACAACCTTCCGAGCTCAGAAACTTACCTTCCTGTGAAGTCCATGTGTTTTTGCATGTGAGTGAGTGAGTGAGTCGTTGACTGCAGTATACGCACTGTACTCCGCATATCATTCCAACTTGGTGCATAGATCGTGAGACCGGGCTTTTGAATTTTGGAGTTAGAACCTTCCTCCCTAGCTGGAATGAGATATTTTGCTGGGCCAGGTCTATGATCACATCGCATGTGTTTGTTACATGCAAGATGGAGCTAGGGAGAACTTTGCATGTGTATTGAACTGTATTTAATTGTTCCGTATAAACCTTCAGGACTTGAGTTCCTACCTCGGTGGGTTGGAGTTGGTCTGGTTGCATCTGGACATGTGATTGGAAGGCTTATGTGTCTATTTTCGCGTAGACATTCTATGGACGTTGTTGCCGCCTTAAGTTGCTACCTTTCTGTCTGCGAATATTCACTTCAAAAGTCAAAAGAATGTGTTCGAGTTGTCAAGCCTGCTTATGGAGAGATATTCTCCATTCTAGCATTGTCCCGTGCTGTACTGAGGCAAATCATGGACATAACGGTCTTAAAGGGCAATCTACCTTGTGCGCTACCGAAGCACTGTCCATGAACAACAACATGATCTTTCAATGACATCGACGGCACCTCAAAATTATGGAATATTCGGTGATATCAAAACAAGAATAAACGTAGAAATGAGATGAAGAATGATTCTCCTCTCATTTCTTTACATACTACGAAATAATGATCGATGCACTCTGTTGAATCTTTAGGAGATTCCACTAAACATAATGTGGGCCTAAGACTGGTATAAAAGCAAGTACATAAATCTTGATCAGTCACTTCAAGAATCGGCCAAAGAGAGAAAGAAAGGGAAAGTCGAGAAGACATCACAAAGGAATATACTCCATCTACTCTTTTGATACCATCAATGGACTTAAATAGCGGATCATGAGAGGTATTTTGACGTAATACCAGGGATAGTCAAGTTTGTGCCAAGAGATTTAACTCGGAGACAAATTGTATTTGCCAATTTGTGTGAAGTGGTAGGTTTATTATCAATGAGAGACGGCAGGTCTAGCGTTCTAGGCGAGTTTAGCACTCTTTGCATTGTTCTATCTCGCCATGTGATTGCAGATACACCTATTTTGAAAGTGTGTGCGATGCATACGGATACAAGGTTATGGGTTTATATATAGTCGTATGTCATGCAAAAGCCATTTGGTTCTTGAGGTACAACATGAGCCATTATCTTCGTACGTATTATCCATGTAATTAGAAGGGTACAATCCACTTTGATGGATCTATAGTTTCAACATGTATTACATATATTTTTTTTGCATAAAGCCATTTTATGTATTGCAAAAATTCATTTGAGCTTTTGTTCCGCCAAAGGTCCATGCTCTTGGATCTTGGCTAGATCATGCTTTAAGGTTCTTTACTTTCACCGTATGAGTGACATCACTGGCTAACGTTGTTGTGACATCATTGGCTAACAAGCATGGGATGTGCAAAGTGTTCACCTTTCTGTTTCTTTAATACTGATATTATAAAAACAAAATGAATGCCAGTTTTCAAAAAAATTGTGAAGGAGTGGGCAGGAGCATATAAAACTAGAATACAATGTCTTTCTTTCTCTAGCATATTTTATAGTGTAATTCTATATTGCTCTACACTAAAGATAAGAATTCGATCATGGTAATTGTTGTGATGTCATATGCTCATGCAATTTCTAGATCGTTTGATTTTGATATTTCAGACATAGTAGATGTTGTAAGATATAACCTCATCACTATATATCTTCATACTCTAAACCCATGTATCCCGTTTGTTTTGTTCATTGTTAAAGTTGATGAGTTATTCTTATTATTTATTGAAAAATGACAGAAGAGGAATCTGAATGAAACAATAATACCATAAGACATGGATATGCAAGACATTCCATCAGAACCATGACAGTGGCATAAACTGCTCTTCCAATATTCTAACCCTTCTAGTGTTGAAAATCCAACCACCTGACACGATTTGCTTTAGTATTTGTTGGTTTGTTTCCTAAATGATTCGCTCTATATAATCTCACATCGATATGCTCTTATGTAAGACGTAGCCTGTTGACATTGGTTCCGCTTAACGAAGTGGCTGTCATGCGCTATTTCTGATCATATTGTAAATATTTTGCTCGTTTTGATCTGCAGAACAGGTAATCTACCTGCATGTACTAACTACCTAATTCCGTGAATGTGGATGCGGTGATTGGTACAGCTTCCTCAACAAGATACTGACCGGTACCACATAAGAAAACGAAGAATTAGAGGAGGAACAAGAGCTTGACATTTGTTGTTCCTATTGTCCTCGCAGGAATACTTTACTAGTCAAATCAGGCTTCGCCTCGTACCTGTTAAATCTGCCATGCAATGTACCTCTCCAGTACATGAAAATCAATGAGGGTGTATAGCAGAGAATCTAAAATATATTATTTTATCAGAGCTGGTGCGAATTGAGAGGGGGGTGAGTTGTGAAATTTGTAGGTTGGTAAGAACAGATGCAAAACGACATGCATGGGCTTATATACTTGAGGTGTCAGATGTACTTGGATAAAGTCTAACTGCTGTTAATATAATGTTTGCCATCAAGGTTCAAAGAGAACTTAATGTCTTATGAAAGGTCGGCTGGCCTCTGGGACAAGTGCTCTTTAAGTCACTTGAGAATGTCACGGCTTGAGATTCTTCGTTTTATCGTAGCCTTTTTTCGCCAGAGCTATCCTCCAGACGAGGAATATTCAGAAACAAAGTCTGCTCTCGTCGTCAAAGTTTACGCCAAAGTCCAGTAGTCTACCTAAGAATTTCATTGACCTCCATAATTTTTTCCCCATCTTTTTAAGTATCTTTGGTGGCAAAGATATGGTGTGATGGAAAAGTCAAGCGTTTCATTTGTGGAAAGTTGCTCTGTTCTTTCCGGGTAAAGACGGAAGAATGCTGCTTTCAGGGATACTCCATTTGTGATAATGGAGCACCTTGCTTGTACGTACTGCAAACAGAGGCCCACTTTTCCAACGTCCATTGAATATTGCTCTGAAGATGAAGTCACTTAGTTGAGAAAGCTCTATCTCTTGGCTAGGACGCAAGTCTTGAAGGTAGGAGGGCTTCGTCGTTCCAGAGATATGTGACCCTGGGAATAGGACAGAAGCAGATAGGCTAGATTAGATTTGTTCATATATTCGCTTAAGTACGCTCATGTACGTACGGGAGTTGTACTTCCTACGATCTTTGACACCTCAACACTTTTTCTGAGGGACGCGCTTTCACCTCAGCGTGTGGTCGAAGTTTCAGATAAAACTTGGCGAATATGTCATCAGGATTGTATTCATACGATGCTACGAGAATCGACCAGGTTCGCTGGATGCTCGGAGCGGTGAGCCATCTACCTGACGAACCTCCGGGAAAAAGTTTGAGGAGATCTCCCAGAGATGCGACAGATATCGGACGACGCTGACGACACTACCCATCAGCTTTGGTGCACTGTTACGGGCATCTTCAAGTAGTCCTCAGACATTGTCACTATGTCAATCAGGCGATGTGAAGGAAGTACACTAGTCACGTTCCTGTTCTTGGACTCTGCCAACCGTCGTTAGGCTTGCTTTCTGCTGTATCCCGTAAGTGCCCAGGATTTTCAACTCGAATATGCTCATTGACGAAAGAGTAGTTCAAGTTTCACACACGAGATTGCAGGACTCCTTGGGCACTCGTGTACTTGAAACCAGGAAGATAGACTCCAGATTTTGGTTGTTGGGAAGGAACTATATTGTGCATGTACATACAGTACTGGTAGTTGATTTTGCTTTTACAAGGACGAATCATCAACAATTCCTCCTTTCAACAAGACCCTGAGCCCGCGACTCAGACTCGGATAAAGAATGGAAGACTAGGAGTGAATACTCCAGGAAAACGACAAATTCCGTGCACTAAATGTCCACTATAGACACTCTGTCCACTCTATACTCACAATCCAGAGTAATTCGGGTATCACCACCTTCACATATGCAATAATATTAAGCAACTGTTTAAAAATTGTACTTGTATACAGAAGGTGGCAGTCTACAAGCAGTCTCTGGAGTCTGGCTATGAGAGGAGAAGGTCGGGTTATTCGGAGACCACAAGACGCTTTACAGATTGTAAGTCCTGCGTAGAAAAAGAGCAATCACAGAATTCCTGCGTCTTTGGTTATATCAAAAAATTGGAACAAAATTCATCCTATTACAACTTGGTTCTTCTAATAGCACTAGCCCTATTTCGATTCTATCCAAGGCCGTCGATTGCCATCCAGTTTCCTGCATTCTTTTCGCAATGAAGAAGTCTCAAATAAATCTACATCTTTGGGGTAAGTATACAAAGACCCGTCTGCTCGACAGATGCTCTCTAAACAGATGCTTCCGACCCGCTGGGATTCTAAAGATCCGGGGTTCTCCAAATGTAATGGCATTCGAGCTTCAGGATATTTGAGGATATGCAACAGCTCTTCACATTCGCTACCCGCAAGGGTGCGCAAAACAAAAGTACACGAGTATTACTCAGCCATTAGTGCTTGAGAAGTTTCAACATATCTCCTACCAAGTAAAGTGAACCGGTCACCAGCACCTGCATTACAAGTACGCAGACAAGATTATATGGAGTCCACCAGATACGTCACAACAGCAACTTTCAGTGTGGCACAAGACACCATGAGATAAAAAGAGGACGCGAACAAGGTTGGCTCAAATGAACACAATCACGGAATTTCCACTCTAGAGGCGATCCATGTAACGTAGGATGAATACCTGGATGTGCATTTGGGGATGTCGTCTGGCGCAAGACCTTAACCATTCTAACGTTGCTGGCAACGATGCCATAACAGCACTCGAGGGACCGATGGATTGACAACCTCCTTTCTTCTCCTCTAGGCTCGATAACAAATCCATGCTGCCTGCCCCAGTTGCTGTAGAAAGTCTATTACCTTCTGCGATGACGAGGCAAAAATAGCATCCATTTTGCACATCATTCTTAAGCATCCACAGAAAGGTAGCATCACCGGAACGCACTTGGTCAATTCTTTTGGCAATATTGAGTTATTTCAAACTAACGTAATCATGACTGCAACAAGCAACTTGGGTAGCCCCGGACTTGAGAGCCAGGAAGAACACTAGTATCCAAGAGTACCCAAGCCTACATTATGGACCTGAACTAAACTTTTGGTAGGCTGAAAGCTTTCGACGGTAGCGAACTGTTGTTGGTATGCAGTCAAGGCACAGACTAGATCCAGATGCAAATCTTCTGAATTCTCACAGGCACTAAATATATGTCATGAGAAAGTTGTCTGTTGCTCATGCCAAAGTCCAAATAGATTGTAGATGCAATCACAATGAGTAAGGCTTTCCACAACAGACAGAACTCAAGTTATACTGCATGCTGCAATACTTAAATGTCGTATTGCATTGGGATGAGAACGACAGAATGTCAAGTGCAAATCGATATATGGCCTTTGTAGTCTTGGAAAAATCGGTTTGTAATCAAGTAACCGTGAGAAGAATGTTACATACCTTCTAGCTTTGATTTCCTTAATGACTCCCAGTGGTTCTGTAAGGTCAGTTGCCATGAAAAATCAGCTTTAGGCGCGTTCTTAATCGGAGTGATAGAGACGTAGCTCGATGATTGAGGTGCAAAAATCGCCATATCGACTGGCAGCCCTGCAAGAACCAACAGTATGACTTAGCACAAGTCCGACTAGAGCACATGTTGTTAATCTTACAGTAAGCACATCGACCTTCTACTATGTACAAGAAAAAATGTCGACTACTAAAAATACATAATAGTTGATGCAAGACAAAGACAGCCCTTATGATGAGGTATCCTTGCTTAAAAGATGAGCCCGACACTGACGTAATTGATCTGAAGAACAATCAGACTTAGACAGTACAAAATGTACTTTGACCCCAAACCTGTATGAACCTGATATTGACATAAAACAACAAGAAGAAACGCGAAATAAAGAAGGAATAAACAAGAAGAAACAGGTCGCAGAGTTCATAACCTTTATCTGCGCCCCAAGGGGACTGACCTTGCTGGGAACAGAGGTTCACAAGAGGAGGTAGAAGTGACACGGGATCTCGCCTTGGCATGCAACCGAAGAGTAGTACCTGACATGCACGTCAAAAACCTTAATGTTACCTACATCCACAAAAGTGCGTAATCAACTTGAACTCAGGATTCAAGTAACCGGTTGAGGTCCGGCTTCCGAGAGTTCATATAAAATGAACAAATGAGGCAACAGGGCAAAGATGCCCCGGTCTAAACCAATATACAGATCTGGACCCAAGAATCACTCAGTAAGAAAGTGTATATTTTGCCGGCTAGGATACGAGTAGAGCGCTCTGTATCTACGACATCAACTGCTTAAAAGATTCATCAGCTTAGGTTCACTTCTGTCCATCCAAATGGGTTCAAAAGGACAGACCATAGATCATAGACAAGACTGCCATTGAATTACAGCAGAATAAGCGCTAGGGAAACAGAAAATCAGACTTAGTATCCTTAAGCTGGGGAAGGTAGGCGTAGGTTGACAATCACCCGCTGATAAATAACGTCCCCGTTTGTGTTTGTAATGCCATTCGATAATTTGTTATTTGCCTTCTTCAATTTTTTATCAACCTCTACTTCATCGCAAAACCATTTGCCACAAGCCTCCATGCTCTCTGGACTATGTGCTCCGTCCAGAAAAAACTGAAGCCTCCCGAATTTGAAGCTCCCTTTTTCTAATGAGGGCTCCTCGTCGCGAAGATCTAAATTATCCTCCACAATGTCAGCTCGTCCTGGCCAACGCGTCTTTTCAAGACCTCTCACGTAGGACTCTGGAAGACCTCCCGTCACCATCGCCTGAAGAAAGAACAACATGTAGCCAGTCTCAGCGCCAATAGCTCAGTCCGCAGAAACTACTGTGAACCTCGACACGATAGGAACGCCACTTGCATACTGCTGAGAGCTCATGATAGTCAAGCCGTCTGATGTCAACTTGAGTCCCCAATTGTAATATCTGTCATCTTTTTTCACTCTGTATCTTAGTCCTCAAGAATAACACTCTGTCATAGCATAGCTGTCTTGAAGACGAGCACATAAAGGGAGCAAACCTACAAACTTGGACGTGCATCTGGTACTGAGTCAGGTGAAAACAGAAGTAGTAACAGGGACACCAAAGAGAAGGGGCGAAGGGAACTTTGCAATTAAGGTATTTAACGATTGGACAAGTGTGTGTACTGGTATCATCTGATGATGATACCAGGTTAAAAGATAACTATAATGTATAAGTGAAAAATATGTGGTTGGCATAGCAGGAGAGCGACAATAACAAGGCACAGCAAGCAATGAACCGTCTAGTACCAACCCGCGAAGTAAAACCGCAAGGCCTTTAAAACTTGAAGGGAGTAGACATGGCATATACATAACGGAATGCATACAACGCATTTCAAGATAACGGATCCGCCAAGATATGTGTAAAGATAATCGTGACTAAAAAGGAAAATCATACGGTGTCCATGGTCTGGAGAGTAGGTAAATAAAACAGATAATTATATACGACCCCTTTCAAGATTCACACTTCCATTTGCATGGTTGCCCCGCAACTCAAGTGCAACCACTTGCTATCTAAAAGCCTCTTCGACAAGAACTCAATACACACAAACTTACCGATCTCCAGTGTTCTTCATTTCCAGTCCGCCATGCCCAGGTCTTACACAACGCAACAGCAAGTGCTGCATTCAACCGTTGGTGATCTCCTTTCAAACCCAGTTGCAAGTTATGTAACCCATAGGTTTCTAAAGGAGGGGCAACTTCAAGAGGTATCTGTGGAAACACACGCTGCTATCTTACTGTGCAACCTTTGACTAGGATCCACAAAATACCATATTAACTGCTTTCTTGTACTTCATACGATGAATCCTAGCCTGTGACTGGAAGCCGTGAAAATCAATGAAAACTTCTGCTCCATTTAAACTAAGGAGTCATGAAACTTACCTCTAGATCCGCTGCCTTCTTCCTAAGTACTTCCATGGCCTCTTCTGGTTGAGGAGCTGTTATTGCTGGTACACCCGGCTGTGTATTACAAAGGTCGGAAAAAGTTATGATTGCTGCAAGAGAAGCATCACTATCATTACCACCTAGAAATGTTGAAGATAGAAAGGATCTACACTTTCAGACATGAGAGCATTTTTGAGAAACATCTCGACTAACCTTGAAAATGCCTGCTTTTTCACCGGCAATCAGATCTATAGTGTTACCTGCAAGGCTCATGGCAAAACATCAGACTCTGTTACAAAATATGGTGAACTCAGACCTTCACCTTGTATTCCCGTGGCTGCTCCCCAGAAGTGGAAGGAAATACATAAATTAAGGAAGAGGAAAGTTCATTGAGAATTGCGAGAGCTTGCTGACTGCTACTAGAAGGGGTCTGGAATATGATGAAGTTTTGCCGTTTTAACTGTATCAGGGCTTGCGCATCGAATTGAGATCATGTTAAGTAACTGGAAAATGCTGAGGTAAGAGATTTCGAAAAACGAACCTACCTAAAAGATCACAATGATCCAACCCCAATGATGAGATTCCAGTAACAGCTGGAGCTCTGATCTGTATCACAGGACGATCTCAAACTCATTTCCATAATATACTTCATGAAGTTCTAATCAAACGACCTTTCCCCAGGCACAGATAATGGCTAAAACAACAAAAAGCTTGATGGGAGGCATCAACTCGGACATACCGCGTTTGTTGCATCTAGTCGTCCACCCAAACCCACCTCCAGTATAGCGACATCAACCTGAAGAGCACTCCCATATAAAGCGAGTCATTGATTGCTCATGTTTCAAGATTATAAACAGTGATTGATTGATGAGCTGACAAACAATGATTGCCAGCTACATTTCAAATGTGTATCCTTGGAGACAGAATTCTCTTTTTTAACATAGGGTGCTTCCTTGCAAAGGGCAATCATTAGATATAAAAATACCATAATGATTCAACCGACGGCAAAGGGGACTCACACGTTGGGAAGTGAACATTTGCAAGGCCAGCAAAAGCATAAAACGAAAGAACCCTGGCACTGGGGCAGTGTCCTTATGCTCCTGCACAGATCCCGGTGAGAATTCATTAAAGAACCCAAAAGGTTCAGTTGAACCGCAATAAACTGCAACTGCTTCCAGTTTGTGCTAAACTATCACTAATCTCTCTGAGAGACTGTATCAGTGCATTTGCAAGACGAAGACAAAAACTTCGGGGCGCTGCATGATGCGCGAGGTCATCTAGAATCTCTCTTCTACCAAAGCAAAAGCAAAAGCGCTGTTAACAGAAAGTGACAGTTGACGATCTTTAAATCATGCCCAAAATCTTAAGCAAACAGCACTGAACGAGCTTTCGACTCAACTTAAGGTGACATTGTACCTCAAGACGATTATAAACATGCCAGAAGGACTCGGCGAACAACTCCTTGGAAACCATGAGCCTGAATCATGAAGTGTTGTATCAGCGAATACAATGGGGTTCAAAGCCAAGTCTCTGGAGACATGATCATTGACCTCTCTGCCGATTCCTGTAACTGGACAAAACAAAAAAACTAGACAGATAATTCGAACTCCTACAGATACATCTTTTACTTTCACGGTTGGTCTAGCATATCATGAGCAACATTTAACTCAAAGCAGCTAATTTGGCGTCTGTACTTAAAAAGTTTGAATTTTGCAACTTCGAGGGTCTACAATAGCTACCGTGTGTACTGTTCATACGCAGGAAGCCAGTAACCCACTAATAGAGGGACAAATAGACTTAAGTGCAGCTATGCTGCTGTTCTGATGAAATATTTGATTAAGGAATAACCATGTACTCACCCATCAAACCTGAATCTTTCCCGAACGTCAAGAAGATGCGGAGAGGTAAATAGTCCTGTCTTGAAACCAGACTCTCTCAATACACTTTCCGAGAACGCACATGTTGAACCCTGACAAATGCCAACCCGCAATCCATGAGGGTAAATATAGCATGATCGAACCTTAACTACCTCACACAGAGATGGAGCAAATCCAAATGTCAAGATTCATCTCTTTGTACAGACTGTTAAATTACTTGTGTTTGTGCTCGATATGGATGAAGAACTTTGACATAAAGGTTTGACTGCAGTTGTCAAAATTTGTCTGTCATGGCCTGCAGACCATAGACTGTGCCACCTGGCTGAGGTGTGATATTGGAGAGTGCTTAACGAGTATCAAACACCTGCAGAGTATGTACATCCTTACGACTCCGAAGGTTTGAAAACATTCATCGTTTTGAAGAACTTCTCCTTGTTTCAGGCCATGTGATACCGACAATGGCATTGCTACACTCCGTACACTTCAAATTCTGAAAAAAAAGCCGAACATCCCAGCAATTTGAAAGGTCCGAAATGGAGCTTCTCAAGAGGAGAGTGAGCAATGTAAAGAAATTTGTACCTTTCCTTTCGTTCCGGCGACATGTATAATACTCAGCCGCTTCACAGGCTCTTCCAGCTCTAGAATCTAAATTGAAGTGTAGTGCACACGTCAGAGTCACATAAGTACACTATACGGACAAACTGGTGACAAAAGGAACAGGCAAGCACAACAGCAGGCCAACACATCAAAGTTCAGAGATGCAGGGAATTTGAGCTGCGATCATTTTCTTCCACGGTTACCAAACCCCTTGTCAATGACTTCAAACCAGTGACAGAATGGGTGAAAATAAAAATTTCTTCGAAAAACTGTAAAATGAAACTGCTATATACCAGCAAAATTTAAGAGTGTGGAGGATCCATGAATAAAATGACTTCAAATGAACCTTTATGTGTTTGAATGTCATTTTGAAATTATTCTCCCAACTTCGTCTCATCTCCGGACCCAAATCACCATCATTTCTGTGAATAAGCGTATTGAGCTTCTCCACAGCGGCTTCATAAGAAGTGTCAGATAAAGTCCCCATCGCGGTAGCTCAAGCACAAGCGCAAAATTGCCAGACCCGAAAAGACGGCCTGGTACTCTGCGCTCCCACCCAGCTCCCTTCTCCACTAGCACTCAATGGCAGCACGCCAGAGCCATTATCCACGGCGCCTACAAACTTGCTTTGAATTCTGCTCGGCTAATAAGGCAATATGTGTGTGAATCTCCGCGGTCTCTCGCAGGATGCCACCGATCAACAAACCAACAGCGTTGTCTCTGGGCAAATTGAGTCGATTCTTAAGCCGGCGAGATCGTCACGCCCCCTTCCAGACAGAGCTGAGTTACAATGTGTCCGCTTCAGCCCGGCGGGGGATTGCTCGGGAAGCATCCAGTGGTGGTCAGTCCAGCCCCCAAAGACAGAGACTGACAATGAATCTTGACAGCAATGTTGACAACTTGCCCGGCACTTGCATTCAATGGACGTAAGGAGGACCAGAATCCCAGACCGCCTCCTTCTCGCTCACCACTAACTCCGCATTATCGTCTAAAGCTGACCCATTAAGGTACAAACCAGCCAGTAAACCCATTATTAGTATTCAAAAATGAAAACTAGCCCCACCATAAGCTCCTCATGCGACATCGCTCCCTTGTACGTCTCGTTGTCAACCAGCGTCGCGATGTGTGGTACGAACAACAGACTTAACGTGAATATGCACAGGATATGCTTCTGTCGAGCCGAGTGAGCGGATCCTCCCTCGACTGGAGATGGATGATGCTGTCGAGCAAGTACTAGTCACCTGAAAATATGAATAGAGAATGCAACGCCTGATGATTTGGTACATCTGGTTATAAACTGTCCCTACAAACTGCAGAGGAACATTTATTACCAGAGGTCCTTGGCGACAGAAGATTTGAACATTATCAAGAAAAAGGAGAAATGTGGAAAGTTCTGATCAAGAACGTTCGCTTCCTGGGAGGGCCTTTTCAGCTTTGTTCCCGTATTTGAGCAAATACGTTCCAGCTTTTCAGTCTCGAGAATCCAATGGATCAGAAAAAATCTCGCCCTATGCACCTACATCTGATGTCTACGAGAAACCAATATCGTAATCCTCACAGATAAGACGCGCCAGGTTTTCGCCGCGCCTTATACCAACGAAATAGTTCCAGTAAATTCCAGGATATCGGCCGAGTGAACACTTACTATCCACAAACTCCTTTACTTGAAAGATAAGATGGGATTATCCTGGAGGAGTATTATCCTCGCATTGGCTGACAAAGTTCATTTTAAACTCAAAGATGGAATACACGAAGACATTACAGGAGACAGATACTTCAAGTGCTAAGGGGGCTTCATATTCTTAATGTTTAACATGAGCAAAGGGAACCTATTATTGCGGAGATTTTTTTAGTGACGAATTAATCGCTAGATGCAAAAAAGTCAGATCATAGGAAGAGATCACGAATTCAGTGAAGAAGAGATATTCGAAAGGGCTTCAGATGCTTATTGTTAAATATAAGAAAATAAAACATATCTTACGGAGATCTTTTAGCCGTGGACGCATTAACAGTTTGATGCAGGAAATCAGACCCTAGGTGGAGGGCACGAGTTCCGATTTATCTCATATTCCGAGTCCTTCCGACTCTCTGTCCCATGACTGCCTGCATGGAATCTTCTGAAGCTATCCTAGAAATAAAACAACAAAAGGCAGAAAGTGTTGCGCTGGACCATCGACCAATCCAGAACTTGAGATACTGGCTGCTCCTGGTTTTGTCGGTTCGTACCATGAACAATCATGGCTTTCAAATATCAGATGGAAACCTCAAAGCTTCATCGTTTAAAACTCTAATGTTGGAGAAATTTGAGAAACTATTCAATAGGTGCGAGTGGTTTCAAGATATATTAAGTGGTATGCACACAGTTTTGCTAAGAAGGGTTGTGATATTCAAAACTTCATTAATCTGCACAACCTAGTTCGTCCCACTCAGTAGAGACCCATTGTGCAGAAAGATGTCTGTAGTTCATGGACACAATCATGATAAGTGGACGTACAGCTTTTACAACTCATATTGTCTGGTTTTCAGAATTGTGCATGACAATCTCCGAATCAAAGTGACGTCCGTTGTTTGATTGATGAGGAATGCATGAGTGAAGATCCAACGATTTGCTTTCCGGTCGGTTCGTTCAATCATGTAGAGCTCAGTGTCACCCAAATGTGCAAGATTTTGACAGAGTTTTTTCCAAAAAATAATGATTATTGTTTATAGTATATAGAGATATGAGTTCCATGTTATAGATATACGAAGCTACAAAGAAGCAGAAGTTTTTTAAGCGCAAGCATCAGAATGCCTGCAGGGCAATAATTGATAACGGGTCGAATGAGCAGGGTCTGGATGAAAATTATCAGAGTTAGTAAGTTGAAAACTCCCCTCGGTTTATTTTCACGAGAGGGGGAAGATACAAAATCCAAGTCCACCTTCCTACATAATTTTGTTCACACTTTATGAACAAGGATATCCATTACATATGCGTCGATGCTTCCTAGAACTGTATACTTGAACAGGCATAATTGATATACCGTCTCATATGCTGACATTGCTAGAAAATATAATGGCCATTAGAGTATTTTTTACTTTCGGAAACTTGGCATCGTCCTCAGGGATAAAATGGCATATCATTCCATTTATACACGACAATTCTAATCGCAATAGTTGGTTTCGAATTTACCTGAAGATTGATGGCTTAATATGGTAAGCGGAACATTTCATATTTATGTTGATTGGTACTATGTAAAGTGTGTAGTCAATGTAATTGTGTTCGATCAATTTCTCCATTCACATATTTTAGTTGTTGATCAGTTTTAAAATATTCCAAAGATGGTAACATAAATCGATTCGATACAGTATGAATTATTCATACACAGCGGAGATATAGTGATATTGAAGCTCAGAAATGAAAAGATCAAGATAGAGACGATGAAGTCTAAACATATCAACCTCATATATTTAAATAAAACACTGATTCGATTGAGGTCTGAAAATGTCCTCAATGATATCGGTGACATACAAGTAGTATATGTATGATTAACCACCTCAAAATCAATATTTCAGTCCTTGGATTTTATGAACTAACATTTGAGCAATATAAACTTGCACAAGCGTTTGGCTATATCTTGCATTGATTGGTTTTGTCTTGTTAGATCTTAACCTATTCATGACATGAGAACTTCATTTGTTCATTTGAGTGTCTCGGAAGATTTTGCCTTTTCTTGAATCTTTCTGGATCAACCAGATCTTTTCCACAGTACTCGATTTGCATACTCTTTCGTTTTCTTGCATGCTTCATTTTAAATTCTGATAATTTGTAGCTAAACATATCTCATTTTCCTATTATGGAAAATGGATATCAAATTGTCCTTTCTAAGAAGTCAAGATTTGGCCTATGTAATTGATTCCTCCAAAATAAATGATTGCTAAAAAATTGCATTCGTATTTGAATCTCGTTGATCATTTCTTTTGTTCTGATTTGGAGGATAATTAGCTTTATATTCAAAATCATATTCTCACACACCCTTTCAATTGATAAGTCATCAAGGTGATTCAAATCTTCACACAAATGGTTGCATTATAACCAAATTTTGTTTACATGCATTCGGAATATTGTATGCTTCATTACCTTATGAATTTTTTTTTGTGCAACTAACTTTTATAATAATTCAAAATAAGAGATATATCTATACATACAGGATGAAATACTTTTTTTATTTTTTTATTTAAATTGGAAATTATTCATTAAAAATATAAATTTGAACATTAAATATAGTTATGTTTATCTTCATTCATAATCTTATATAAATTTTAAAAATATATTAAAATGTTATGAAATTTTAACTTATTAATGATATTTTATTTTTACCTTTTGAAAAAAATTTATCAAAGTGTTTCAAAAAAACAATATAAAAAAAATTCAAAGTATTATTATTGAAAATCTATTTATAAATAATTAAGCTACTATACAAAATATAATCTATAAATATGATATTGAAAATATTTTCTACATTATAAAAATTTAATATATTTAATTTTCTGAAAATAAATATAAACATATGTGTATCATATAAGTATAAATGAATATCATTTGTTTATATGATTTAAAAAATTTCAAGAACTGATATGTTATGAAATTTTTAGTTCATTTTTATTTACATCTTGAAACTAAAAAATTTAAATTTGTATATATCATGGTGAAGTTTTTATAAGCATAATGTACAAAATGAATTTTTATTACTTATAAATTTAAATGTAGGCAAGCAACACATAAACATACAATGACACACAAATGAACAAAAAAATTTTAATTCATCACATTAAAAGTTATCACAATTTTTAAAAAAACTTAGTTTAGTTTAATCCCACTTATGGTTTAGATTAAAATTTTATTCTATAAGAAAATTTTGCAAATTGTTTTCTTGGTATTTGAGACTTTTTTTTTAGTTCATGTTACTGTATTCTAATGGATGTATTTGTAAACCACATGTTAAGATATGTATTTGAGTTTTCATTTTTTATATGAGTGTGAGACGCAAAGCATGAATGCAAGATTGCTAGTTTGATTGACAATTGAGTTTGTAGATGTGACAACATAGAGTATGAATGATTGAAATCATTTTGCAAGTTTCACAACATTAAATGTGTGAGTGTTTAGAAAAAATAAACTACTTTGCAAGTCAAAATAATTGTTGTTTAAAAAGGTTTGCTTGTTTGTGATGGGTGTTGTTGGATTAAATCATAATGCAATTGTTGATGAATATCAATATGAAATAGGTTATGGAAATTCTAAGTAATCAAAATTTGATTGATAGCAAACAGATGTGCAAGCAGAAGTATAATTTATCTGATAACAAACAAAATTATATAAATAGATATATATATATATATATACATAACATCCAATTATACATCTGTATCTATATTTAATTATATATATAGAAAAATATATATTATATTTGACAAAGATGTGAACTATAATAAATTTTTTCACCTCTAGCAAAGTATACTCTAATGTGATTGATATGTGCATTTGCTATCATATTTAACTCTGATTATGAACATAATGGATGTTATTATTGCATTTTTCTATAAATCTTTGAATAAGTAAATCTACAAGAGATAATTAGCTATCTTTGAGAAAAAATGTCAAGAAAAAATGATTTGTAGATTTCTAAAATCTGAATGAATGAATGTAAATGCCAGTGAAATGCAAAGTTTGATGATTTCATGAAAGCACAAAGATCTTTAGGAAGTGTATTATGATGCATAATTTATTTTTTATCTTATTATTTAAAATTATCTAGTCTGGAGAAAATTCATTATGAAGTCAAAAGATGCAAAAATCAACTGAAGATTTCATTGAAGATGAGAGATTTAGTTAAGTCTAAGAATATATTTTGGTTGAATTCTAATAGGATTTTATAAAAAAAGGTTTATCATTAAATCATAATAAATAATTCAACTTGTGTTTGAAAGATGCAACATAACAAACTTTAAAAATGTAAATTTCTTTGGCAGCATAATTTTATTTTATTCTAGCTCTATAACCAAATAAATGTGATTAAGAATAAAAATATGTCATTAATTTTACTTGACATAATAGTGAACAGACTTATATTTTTCATGACATGCACAAGATCTAATCTTGCTTTGATTATGAGAAAGATGAACATTTACGCGTTAAATTTAAATTTTTTTGATTCTGAAGCTATAAAATCAATTTTTAGATTCCTCACCAGTAGTAAGGATTATAGTATTTTGTTTGATGGCTTGTAAGGCAATGCCAAATTTATGCTAAAATACGTTGATGATGTTTATGAATAAGATGTGGAAAAGGGTTATCTATAACCAGATATGTATTTAC